AAACCAAGAGACACATATCAAATTATTTCAATCTAAACTATTAAAATAGAAAAAAATTAATAGTGCATTTTGGGTTGAAATTTATAAGCAAAAGTTGGACCTATTAACTACTTAATGGGCTTCCACATCACAAAGCTAAAATTTATAATATAGTGAAAAAGGACACAATGCCTTATGTCTTGCATTCACTATAAGGCACGACGGTAATATCCTTTACCTATTTAGGTCCTAGGTCATGGGGTTACATGTTACTCTAGCATGTCTCTTGCTAGCCACCGTATGCTCTTCCTCCCCGCATCTCATTGCTCGCACTCTCCTTTACCTATTTGGTTGGTTGATTATTAATTCAACAAGTCACACAAACTAGCTCTCTACATCTTGATCGATTTACCAACTAATTGCTTGATCAATTCACAAGCTTGCTTAACACTAAGAATTTTAATAATTCTCAAAACCCTCAATTTAGTAGTGTTAGATTATCGGCACTACCGAAGGCGACATGCCTCAACTAATTACTCAAAGCCTTGTCATGGTTGTTAAACAATTAGACCTTCGGATCATGGTCGAAGTCTTCAAAATCCTTTAGGACAAAAATATTGTATTTTTTAAAACTCTTAACAGACATTATCCAACCGCTTTTTATGGATGGACTCGCCTAGACTAGTAACCCTCAAACTGCGATCCATCAACCCATAATGACATTGTTTTTGTAAAGAATTAGAACAAGCCTAAACTCCTACTTTACGTGTTGTAGTTGAATTTAGAACTCTTTAAGGACTAAGGAATTCTAAGCTTTCTTGTGGAATTGATGGTAAAAAGGAGGTTCTAACCATGGTTATTTAGGTTAAGAACTAAGTAGTCCCGAAATCAATACAATAGAATTTTTTACGGACTTGTCACAAAGATCGATTGCGTTCATTAAGGAAATCAACTCGAAATGACATAAAATTTTAACAAAATTTAGTTAAGAGATAGATGAAGCTATGTATAATTTTTAGCTTAATCCAATAACTTTTGACTCCTCTTATGTTAAGTCAAAGTTTTATCTAAATTCTATAGTAAATCTAAATTTTAGTAATAAAAAAATTATTAGGTAAAGTCAAGCTAAGTTTATTGCCAAACTTATTGGAGTTTAACCCTATATGATTTTGAAGAGATTAATAATCTCATTATATATGTAGAGTAGATTGTAATTAAATAACTTACCTTGGTCTATCAAGTAAATGATGTAAACAGCAAATCTTAAACAACCGATCTTATTATAATTTACAACAGCAAAATACTTTTTTTTTTTTAAAAAAAAAGAAACGAAACATATATGTAACATGATTCTGACTACATCTTCGTAATAGATAACATAAATAAATTTTGTTTTGCAAATTTTTCACGCTAGCACCAACAGATGTTAGCATAGATTGTGCAAAGGTTCAACTTGAAAAGTAGCTAGGTTCATGAAAGGTGACGGATGCAAGATGTCAAACTTTTGACAGTCCTTTGCAGGAGTCCTGTGATTGGTCGTCCATGCCGAAACATCAATAAGTTACACCTCTTTTGATGCGTACATCTTACACGAGTACCAACTTTAACATCATGGCAGAGAATCGAAAGAGCATCAAAGATTCGGTTTGAATTCCAACATGTGCAAAAAATAATTAACCGGCCGGTAAATTATCTTCGCTTTCTTTAATTAGTCAATCACGAAATACATGCGGATTAGCAGTGGCCAAAACATCCACTATCTTATTGGAAAAAACTGCTGCTGGCTATATTTTCTGGATTTTGAATCTTCAAAATTTTGCCATCAGCATATATAGGAAAGCTTTTGAAGATACCTAATTAATAATTTAGGATAAACCGTATTTACAGACTATATATAGCTGAATTAATTTTATGGAATTAATTACATATTAGCAAATGAAAAAAAAAAGAATAAAAAAGAAGAAGATGATGAAGACAGCCTCCTAGCTGGCAGGTAAGAAGATTTGGAAAATACATGGAGGCAAGTAGAGACGTTAACACTTTCGAATACCTAGAGATCCCTTAATTTGTCGTCGTACATCAAGCAACTAAGCAAGAATCAGGAGATGGCATAAAAAAAGAGTGAGGCAAGAGACGATGCTCGTGGAAATTTAGTTCAGACTCAGAGCGTGAGATAATGTTGGGTTAGAATTTTCGTGGATTCTGTTGGGTAGTGATTGGCCGACAACGGTTGTCAATAAACAGTTTCGACAACAATCCTTTTATGCACGAACATTAGCATCAAACCTTCTGTGTGTAAGGGAATCTTAGTCATTGAACAAATAATTAGAAAAGAGCCAGTGCGTGACTTTCTGGATGACCAATTTATTCCAACCTTCCATGCTCATAGTCCAATATTTATTTACTTGTTTCAAATTAATACTTAATTTTATATAATTACATGTGACTATCCAAAATTTCATTTTGATTACAAACTAGTTATGCAAATTTATTTTCTTCTTAATCTTATGGAGTACCATTTTCCTTGACATTTATTTTAGGAATAATTACTAGAAAAACAATCTAAAAATATCTCTTCTCTAAAAGATCTATCAATTTAAATTGGTGTTTTGATAAAAAAAAAAAAAAAAAATTGTTTTGGATTTGAGAGATTTAAAGATAAATTAATGAGTTTTTTGGATAAGAGATATTTTTATAAGGTCTTATGGCAATTATCCCCGATTTACATGAGACTATTATTTTTCAAGATATGTATTTTTGTTTTGGATGCCCATGTTTTATTTAATTGATGCACCGAGATATATTATAAATTCATCGCATAATTTAATTTAATTGCTTGATAAAAAAATATTAAGTTTTAATTAATTAAAAACTAGTACTCGTTGATGGTGCTTCTTTTTTATCAATATGTTATGATTTAAGAGATCACCGATGTTCATAATCATACATATTCAAAGCTTTCTTATTTGTATGATACTCTTCCAATTAAATTGCAAAAGAATAACAAAAATTTCATTTCATTGATATTAATTAGTTGAATTACATTAGTCGCTAAGCTACTAAGAATTCAAATTAATTTCTTAATTGATGAAACAAACAATGGATGAAAAGAGATAAAAACTCTTACGAAAAGAATTTTTTAGTATAATAAAAAATAATAGCTAAAAGCCAATGTGTCAACGAGTCAAAGAACTTGAGAATTTTTTTTTTTATATATATAATTGCAATCGAAAGAATCTAAAATTAATCATGATAAAAAAAAAAATCAATATCAAACTCATCAAAAACTATGAAATGAGATTATTATTAGATAATTATCATAAAATCCTCTAAAAATTATTCTATCTAAAAAAATTCATCAATTTATTTTTATATCTCTAAAATATAAAATAATATTTTTCGTACGAAAACACTCAATAGTTAAGCGGCATTAAATTAGAGGTTAAGCTGTTTAGTGTTTTGATAAGAAAATCATTGATTTGGATTTAAAAAATATAAAAAAATTAGTGGTTTTTTTAAATAGAAGGTTTATATACATATATATATATATATATATCCCTTTATTTTAATTATGTGACTTGGCCCATGTTTTTAATATTTTAGGAAGAGACTTCATTGCAAATAGTGAAAATATGAGGGATTGAGTTGAACTGTTGTAAAACTAAGGACTTGATTGAACTTTTTTGAAAAATTCCAGCAATATTCTAAGTACTTCCTCCGTGGTGTTGTTGTCCACCATCTGATCACTACTCGTCCACCAATAAAATCAGCCAGAACCATCATTAAAGCAATACTTTCATATTTTAAACAATACTGCAATATTAAAAATCAATTTCAAACTTAAATCAAACACAAAAGTTGAAATTTCAACTTTTAGATTCAAAATTTCTAAATCTTAAAACATCTAAATTTGCTTGTGTTTGGATTTATATTTCATGTCAATGAACTCTTGTGAACGAGGCAGTCAGACAACAAAGGACTAATAATTTCTCTCTCTCTCTCTTTTTTCCCTTCTAAATTTTGTTTTTATATTTTTCTTTTATTTGTCTTATATATATATATATAGATATATAAAGCATGTATTGATCGTTCAGTTTTATAGTTAGGATTACAATATACAAAAAGTTGGATGGTCATGTTTTACATGAGAAGAATGTCATCAACATTGTCTATTGAATGTTGTCAACCAAACTCTTCCCATTTTCATTTTGATGACTTTGAACTTGATAATAATTTTTCCTTTTTTTTTTTTTTGGTCATGAGTCACGAGTCGTGAGTAGAAGAGCCGTGTTGGGCTCAAGTTGCATACTTTTAAATTGTGTTTCCAGTTGCCTGTGCGGTTGAAATTCATAAGATTCACGAGGCCTTTGAGTTGGAAGGTAGAAAATAACCCTCAATTCTTAAATCAATTTAAGTCATGGAGCTGTATAATCACTTAACAAAACGGGCAAACAAGTGAGAAACAGGAAGCTCCATTGGCCAATATGCATCACTTTCGTGTTTTGTTTCCCAACTTACATGTTTTTGGGTTTTTGAGGAGACAAGAGAGCCGAATTGGGCAGCCCATCCTCAAATTAAGCCGAATTAAAGCAACAAACAAAACTATGCCAAATATAATGAGTTGTGTGTGTGGAGGAGAATCTGTGATAACCCTTAGTCACAACTTTTAATGGTCTTATAATTAAAGAAAAATTAGGATCCTCTTCATTTCAATATGGTACCGCATAAACGGCATATACCTGGCTAACAAGCAGTCCTTTATCTGAACACGTGTTCACATAGGTAGTCCAGTCCTACTACTAGACAAAACAGAACCCTCGAGGATGGAGCTTCTCTCTCTATAAATTGCTCCAGCTTCTCCTCACAATCCACTCAATTTTCTTTTTTCCCCTCCTCGAATGCTCTCAACTCAACTTCCTTCAGATGAGAAGTTTTGTCTTAACTCAAAAGCAGTATAGAATATATATATTGTATAGCCTTAGCTACAAATAGAAGTATATATCGACAAAAATCACATCATTATGGTGAACATAACTTCCATTAAAACCTCATCAAATGGAGCCTGGCAAGGCGATAATCCCCTAGATTTTGCCTTCCCTTTGTTAATAGTCCAAACCACCTTAATCCTAGTGGTTAGCCGCTTCTTTGCCTTCCTTCTCAAGCCCCTCCGCCAACCCAAAGTCATTGCCGAGATAGTTGTACGTCTTTAATTTCTTTTTACACGCACAACAAATTAATTAATATGCATAGCACATATATATATATATATATATATATATATTGTAACGCGCGTATCTATATCTTTGTATCGTGTGTTCATATATATTGAGCTTGTGATATGGATCTTGATCTTAATGATGATCCACCATTATCATCAGGAAATTAAGAACTAAAGATTCTGTTAGCTAATGCTTGAAAGTTGTACGTCAGCTCGTCTCTGAGGAGGGATAACACATCTATAACCTTAATTAGAGTCTCATCTTGTTGGCAAAGGTCTATTCCTTGGTAGAAACTTTTTCGAACCAGCAAATAGGCCGATGACAAAAACTATATATGTTGTCATGTCTCCTTTGTTCATACACTAGCAATGGACAAATCCAAGTTGGTGACCTATCGATTGTTCACTGTCCGCTTCTCCTATTCTTCTCTTCTCTCTTCTTGTACGTTAACGCATTTGTTTTTAGTGTTCCATCGTTAATATATGTAAAAAGTTTTACTTGTGGGTTTTTGCTATGTAACAAACATGTTCTAAAAAAGGGGAAAAAACATATTTATTTTAATAGACTGATCTATGTATGAAATCCCATGATATGTTTTATATATTTTAAATCGTTAAGTTATTTTAATAATCATTACAAACTCTATATTTTCAGGGTGGGATTCTTTTGGGGCCATCGGCTTTTGGACGAAACAAAGAGTACTTGCACCGTATTTTCCCTCAATGGAGCACTCCGATACTCGAATCGGTCGCAAGTATTGGTCTGCTCTTCTTTCTTTTCCTTGTAGGTCTCGAACTCGATTTATCCTCGATTCGCCGGAGCGGCAAGCGAGCCTTCGGCATAGCATTCGCTGGCATCAGTCTCCCTTTCGTCTGTGGCATTGGTGTAGCATCTGTCCTTAGAAAAACAATTGCAGGAGAAGACCAAGTCGGTTATGGCCAATTTTTTGTCTTCATGGGAGTTGCACTTTCAATCACAGCATTTCCTGTACTAGCCCGAATTCTTGCAGAATTAAAACTACTAACAACTCAAGTTGGACAGACTGCAATGGCTGCAGCAGCGTTCAATGACGTCGCAGCGTGGATCTTGCTAGCCTTAGCAGTTGCTCTAGCTGGTAATGGTAACGGTAATGGCGGTGAACACAAAAGTCCTTTAGTATCAATTTGGGTACTCCTTTCAGGTGTTGCCTTTGTTGCATTCATGTTAATTGTGATACGACCTGCCATGAAATGGGTTGCCCGGAGATGCTCCCCAGAACATGACATGGTAGATGAAGCTTATATATGCTTGACGCTAGCTGGGGTTATGGTATCAGGATTCATGACTGACCTTATAGGCATCCACTCAATTTTTGGTGCATTTGTTTTTGGACTAACTATCCCTAAAGGTGAATTTGCTGAGAGATTGATGGAGAGGATTGAAGACTTCGTTTCGGGTCTGCTTCTTCCACTTTACTTTGCTTCTAGTGGATTAAAGACTGATGTGGCTACAATACGAGGGGGAGGTCATGGGGGCTGTTAGTGCTGGTTATTACTACTGCATGTGCAGGGAAGATTATTGGGACGTTTGTGGTGGCAATGATGTTTATGATTCCAGCGAGGGAGTCTTTGACTCTTGGGGTTTTGATGAATACTAAAGGATTGGTGGAACTTATTGTGCTCAACATTGGCAAGGAGAAAAAGGTACCGAGTAATATTGAGTCAATTAATTTAATTTCCACTACTTTTTAAAAGCAATTAATTAATGCTTAATCAAAATCATTAATTATTCTACTGTGCTGACTAGCTACTCATTTATATAATATTAATCCATATAAAAATCTTCTAAATTATAGACTGTATAGATTAATTAATTAGTGTATATCCTTGAATTAATTTTTTTAAATTATAATTAAGGACACCACTTTTATTACTTTTTATTTAAAAAAGAAAAAAAACACACGTGAATTGCATCTGTTACTTTCATAAAACTTTGAAATATGATCATATCTTAAAAAATTGATAAAATCGTTTATATAATATTAATCCTTTGGTAAGATGATATATTCCATCCTCAAGCATATATATATATATATATATATATATATATATATTCTTCATAATTAATTTGTCTCATGACCACAATATATAAATTAATCTGCGTTCTGCCGTTCAAACAAGCAATTTCTAGTCTAACCTACATTAACGATTGTCAAATGACGTCGTTTGCTTTATAAAAGTCATGTGATCTGACATGACATATCACAAAATAACTTTGACACTCTTCTCTCTTGCCAGACCATCCTCTCTTTTACAAGTATCTATTCAAATATGTTGAAAATTCTATATATAGGAACATCAACCTCATCAAACTATATGGAAAAAAATATGTTTTGGGCAAAACACAAAGACAAAAGTATTGTAGATAACAAGCGAATTTGGTTCTTACATCTTTTCCACCACTTACGTGTCAATAAAAATCATAAGACCATTATGCATTTTCTTCGACTTCATCCATAAATAATTTTATTTTTTCTGAGTCAAAATTCTACCATTTTAATGCAACAAGTAAATACAACCTCAAAGATTTGTGATACAAGTAATATACGATGCAAATCCAATATCTGGGGAACTTTCTAGTGATCATGTTTAAAATGTTCATTTATGTTGTGGCCTTCGTAATGGTGCACTTTTTCCACTTGTTTTAAGATAGCTGGCCGCCCTAGGTGGTAACTGGACAAAAGGGATTACTTAAAATTACATAGACAGACAGCAAATCCTGATTACTTAGGAAAGAAGATTAGGAAGTGCGTGCGTTTTTCCACTTTTTTGTTTTTAGATACACACCTTCTGTTCCTCCTGCCTTTTGGACTGCTGTAAAAAGTAGGCGTGAGGTGTTTACTTAGCTGTTGAAATTTACACAATATTCATCATTAATTGGGATACTGATTGATTGAATTGTGCACACAATCATAGTTGAATTTTAAATTATCGTTTTTTTAATAACCAATAACTCGTTTTTTAAACTAAAAATTTCAGGATGTGACCTTTCACAATTCACGCACAGACAAAAAGAGACAGCGCCACTAACATGTGTTTAATTGATTCCCAATGAATAGCTGCTATTCCATAATGAGTGAAGGATAAAAGAAAAGTCACACCACCTTGCATACATCTTCACTTGTTGTATGTATAATCATGAAATCTTGTAATATTCGGATACCGCTCGACCCTTGGTTCAATTAAATAACATAAAACTAATAATATCTTTCTCAAAAAAAATGAATAGAACTAATTTAATTGTTCATCTTTCTACAGGTTCTCAACGATGAAAGTTTTGCAATTCTCGTCCTCATGGCACTCTTTACTACCTTCGTCACAACCCCTACTGTCATGGCGATCTACAAACCCGCTCGTGGTGGCTCCCCCTCTGGCACCCACCGCAAGCTAGGTGACTTAACCACCACAAAGGACTCCAAGGATGAATTACGCATCCTTGCTTGTGCTTATGGGCCAGGAAATGTGTCCTCTCTTATTAGCCTCATTGAGTCAACAAGAAGCACTAAGAAATCCCAACTCAAACTCTTCATAATGCACCTTGTGGAGCTGTCTGAGAGATCTTCATCAATCATCATGGTCCAACGGGCCCGTAAAAATGGGCTTCCTTTCATTAACCGAAGCCGCCGTGGTGAATGGCATGATAGAGTCTCCGGCGCATTTCAGGCCTACAGTCAATTAGGCCGTGTTTCAGTCCGGCCCATAACAGAAATCTCACCTTTGGCTACCATGCACGAGGATATTTGCCAAGTTGCTGAGAACAAGAGGGTGACGATGATAATCTTGCCATTCCATAAACAGTGGAGAGGAGAGGGCGATGAGTCCATGGAGAATATGGGCCATGGATGGAGAGGGGTGAATCAAAGGGTTCTAAAAGACGCTCCTTGCTCGGTGGCCGTGCTTGTGGACCGTGGATATGGAAATGGATCTCAGACTCCAGGACCTAATACCAATGTGGCTCAAAAGGTTTGCATCATATTTTTTGGTGGGCCTGATGATCGGGAGGCTCTGGATTTGGGTGGTAGGATGGCAGAACACCCTGCAGTTAAAGTCACCGTAGTGAGATTCGTTAAGAAAGAAGGGAGAGAAACGAACCATGTTGTGTTACAGCTCTCACCATCCAAGTGTAGTGAACAAAGTTACAGCTTCTCCACCGCTGCAATGAACCGAGAGGAAGAAAAGGCAAGTCCTCTCAACTTCCTTTACTATTATAAAATCTCAAGTACTTACAAGTCTCAATAACATAAACATGCGTTCGGTGCAAATTGTATAACTGAGACATATGTTTAACGTACTCAGCATTCTTTACAATTGATATTATGTTTAATTCTTTCGTGCTTACGAATTTGATTTTTCGTTTTCTGAAACTGATCAGGACCTGGATGAGACTGCCATAGCTGAATTTCGAAGCAAGTGGGAGGGAACGGTAGAGTTCACAGAGAAGGTCGCTAGCAACATTGTGGAAGGGGTGCTAGCAATAGGAAGGGGCGGGGATTACGATCTTATTGTTGTTGGGAAGGGCAGGTTTCCGTCAACAATGGTGGCAGAATTAGCAGAGCGACAAGCCGAGCACGCTGAGCTGGGGCCTATTGGAGACATATTGGCCTCATCAGGCCATGGTGTTATGTCTTCAGTGCTTGTTATTCAACAACACGATTTGGCTCATAAAGACGAGGCTCAAGTGTCAAAGGTAGTGCACGCTGAGTCTGAGAAGTTCAAAGCCAACGAGTCATCGGGTGTGGGGGAGATTTCGAAGGATTTTGTGTGACAAAAAGTAAAAGGTACATGAGATGAGTGTGCGTGTGTGTGTTTGTCACTGCAGCTTATCGAACGCAAAATTTAAGAATTCACAAGTTGTAATTAGCTAGGGATATTGATCATTTGTGTTTTGCTTATTTTCGGTTGCTGATTCTTCTTAATGATTTTGGGGACCATGTTAATCTCCAGAAGAATGGTATTATAAATAAGAAGAAGGAATCAATGATAATATTGAGCCTTTTGGATCCCCAAAAGCATTGCAATTTGCAAGTTGGTACGAAAAGAATTTGTATATACTCTTACTTCTCGCTGCTGAAGAGCTCAATGACTGCCACGAATGCTGTAAATGTATATTCTTCCCAATATTTCTTTCCTTATACCAGATTATTGGGTTGGGGGGAGGGGATCAAATTATAAGCATGGAAAAACTATCAAATTAGCTAGGGTGATTCCTCTAATTCCACCATGGTCCCTTTACTTTCTACAACACCTCTAAATTTCACTTCCTATTAGATTGAAAAGAGAAAAAAGAATAGAAATAAATTAAGGATGCCAAGAAGGGTTCCCTCAAGTGAATTCCTTCCATTCTTTTTTCACTTCATTTGTTAGTATCCCTTCTTCTGCGTATTACCCTATAAACTAAAGTAAAACGAGTTTTTCCTGTAACAATAAACAATATTTAATACTGTTCTTTGTTTTTATTTTTCAGATTTTCTTTTCTTTTTTTTTTTTTTTGCCAGCCCCTCTGGCCTTCTTTCCCTTTTTTTTTTTCTGATTACTGTTCATTGAACGGTAAACGCTTGCCCCCTCTTTTTTTTTTTTAACGATGAACAGTTTTTTTTTTAATTTCCATTCGTTTACTGTTCATATGAACAGTATGGTTGGCTCTTTTTCATAAACATTGATTTTTTTTTTTTTTTGTTTCTTAATAATGTTGGGTGTTAAAATTTTAAAAGAACTAATAATTAATTAGGTGTTAAAATTTTAAAAAACCCAACAATTTATTTCTTTTATTATTTATTTCTAAAATTTAAAATATTTAATTTTTTTTTTTTTGGTGTGATCATTTTTTTATTTTCGTTTATGAAAAGTGAAATGTTTTTTTTTTTTAACTTTCGTTTTCGAATAATGTTGGGTGTTAAAATTTTAGAGGAATCAACAATTATTTGGGTGCTAAAATTTTAAAAGAATCAAAAATTCAATTCCTTTATTGTTTATTTCTAAAGTTTAATATATCTACTTTGGACAAATAATGTTTTTTTCAAAAAAATAATTATGTCTATAAGCACATACTATCACATAATATAATTTATTAATTAACAATTACACAAGATGTATTTCTCAAAAAAAAAAAAAAAAAGGTACATATATTATAATAAAGAATTTTATTACTCATTGTTTGTCATTTATTACTATTTTCATTAATTTGTCATTTGTTTTAAATTCTCATCCAATTAATTTAAAATTATATTTACTCATAGTTTTGATTTATTTTAATATTATTCATCCAATTAATAAAAATTAAATTCATATTTTTTTCAAAAATCAATATTCTCATCAACATGAAATAAAAGAAAATATTTATTCAATTCTATGTAAGCTTTTAGTGATTGTTATTTTTGTTTTTCGACACAATTTTATAAAATACTAAAGTTTTTTTTAAAATATTATTTAATTTTCTTTTTAGTTAAGAATCCATGGATTAACAAGGATAAATCTTTTTTATAAAGAAAAAAAATATGAAAAACACAAATAAGAAATAGTTAAATACAAAATTTTTTATTGAAGAATTATAATTATTTTTTTATCTTTGATTTCATATATTGTTATAGATTTATACCATAGATTATTAAACTGAAATAATTTTTTTAAAATAATTTTATATATTTTATTTAACCTGTAGTGTAGTGCGGGTAAAAAATCTAATTTTATCTATTAGATATATTCTTAAAATCAACTATGTTGCCCTTTTTTTATATGGGTTTTTTTTTTTTTTTTTTTTTTTTTTTTTTCCCTCTAACTCTAAAGCAACAAAGAATTATGGAGATTGGACAAGACTGATATTGGCTGGTGCATAACTAAATCCTTAGTTTAAACACGAAATATCATATTGAATTACTTTAATCTAAGAGTTGTCAAGATGTGCATGCACAATAAAAAGCCACCATTTTGCAGATAAATATAGAGTTTGACCCGTCTTAATTGAAGCCCAAGCCACTTCTTCGTCCATAGCCTCTAAAGACGACGGGCATTCATTATGTACAGGTATTTCCATGTTTTCAAAACAATTATTGATCGTAATTTAAGTTTTTTTTTATTATTATTATTATTTAGAATTTTATATTCTAAATGTATTATGAGTTTTTATAACGCCTTCGTTGTAATGGTTGGGAAAATTTTTCCTTCCTTTCTTAGGTTTCTTTTACTAAGATTACCTGGATTATCTTTGTTTAATAAAAATAAAATATTATATTTTTTTTTCAGTGTTTATGTGTTTTACTTGATGAAAATTAGTCATGAAGACATTATGGATCCACCTCTAACGAAGGAGGATATAAATAGGGATCGCAAAAGTAGATATTCGATTTATTAATTCATTTTATTTTTTTATCCATAAAAAAATATTTTATCCATTATTTACTAAGAAATTATCATATAAATTTTTATTCAGTTTATACTCGATCTATATCAATTTATTTAAAATTAATTTATTAAAAATATTTATTTTAGTTCCTATAATTTTTTTTAAAAAAATTTTTTACATTTTGATTATCTATTTATAAGTTTTTTGGTCCTTCAAGTTTTTTTAAAAAATATTTTAGTCTTTGATTTTTAAATATTATACAACTAAATCTTTGCATGTTAATAAAAAAATAAAAACAAATTAATCGGTATTAATAGGATAAAGAATAAGTACTCATATTCTCAAATCATATTAGTGGATATATGATTTTTTTTATTCTTATCAATTTCAATATTTATTAAACATTTTTAGTGAATGCTTAGTAGGTCAGATAAAATGAATATCCAATTTCTATTCGAGTTATTGTTATCCTTAAACATCAAGGATCCAAAATTATCCTAATAACAATAAAAACGGACATAAAAATTAAAAGGCGAACATAAAAAGAGCTGGAGAATGCATTCTCCTCCTCCATCTCCACGATCCTCCATGACCATCCCATCCCTGCTGTGTTGGATATAAACCTCCCAAAATGTGGAAGCTGAACAAAAGCTGGCGTACCTCTTCTTTAGGTTTTTCTCGACAAGGACCTTGGAAATTGGGATTTCGTCAAATTTAACTTATATTTATATATAACAATATAGAGCAGCTATAAACCAACAGGGATCCGTGGCGCAATGGTAGCGCGTCTGACTCCAGATCAGAAGGTTGCGTGTTCGATTCACGTCGGGTTCAATTCCCTCTATTCCATCCCAAATTTTTTTTTCTTGTGATCTTGCCACCAGTTGGAGGACTCAGGCGGGTAAAAAAATTGCTTTTACTGAAGATAGACTATCATTCACTAGTGTTTGCATGCATTAATTATGTACGAAATAGATAACGTAGAATAAGTTTATCAAGGAACATTTGAATTTTGATGCGATGGTATTGCCTTTGTCAGTCAGCTTGTTACAGTTTAAAACCACATGATCAGTAACCAAGGGAAGCACAACAAACGTAATGATAATTGCCAAGATGCAGAACAGTTTGTTGCAGAGTCAAGCACGAGGGTCTTGGAGAACAGCCAATCAATCATTTACGGTCTCTTCATCTTCCTCTGGCTTCACAAAGAACTCAATATAAGCAATTCGACTGGGTTGCTGATAGCCTGCAGAATCAATGTGTTGATGTGAAGTAGATGGTCTTGCAACTGAAACTAGATGCTGAACTTTTAACATTCCACCTCTTCCAATGGTCAACTTGCTTCCTCTGTTGTCTTTAATAACACTACTGGGTATGTTAGAGGTTGTGGCTCGAAGGAACTTGTATTTATACCTGTCCACATGGTTGTGAAAAACCAGAATCAATAGTTTAATTGTACAAGAATGTTGCCTCTGGTGTAATGAATTAAAAACAATTGAATAATACCGATAAGAGACTTGGTGGTCACAGTGAAATGCAATTAGCAGATCAGTGTTTGCATAATACATGAAGTCTATCTGCAAGAGTGAAAGGTTTTAGACTTCCGGAAACAATTAAATCCTTACAACTACTTCCTCATATATGAAATAAACCTGCAAGTCTCCATGGCCTTCTCCTCTAAAGGTAACAGAAGGGGGTACTGGTTTTAGTATGATCTGGATGCTAGATCCTGGCCATTCAAGATCATCAATAGCTTCCTTCAGTGCTGCAGACTGGTTAGCGAACACCATAATTTTCAGACTATTAATCACAACTAGTAATGAAATACAATAAGCTATCAAGAAAAGAAACATGCATGATTCCAGCAAAATTTGTCATGTCTTTCTGTATTCCATGATGCATGCATTACTGACTTGAGAACAGAATATTTTCGAAGGACCACATAGGAAGCTCACTCATCAGAGCCTTCATTAATTACAGGCATATTCATGATGATATAGCTGACAAACTTGACTGGGATATTAATTAGACAAGCAGCTAGGCCACCGGAGTCAGTTGTACACTAAAAGCTACATTTGTAATTACCGATGATCAGGGGCATGCTGTGAAATGATATTCAAAAAGAACAACCATGCCAGCAATATATGCACATTACTAACTTTTGAGAGACTCAATGACCAAAAAGGGACCAAAACAGTGCTCCCCTCTGTTATAATTGCATATCCAAGAGTATACCTTGACAGTGAAGCTAAGCGGTGTGCTTCCTGCAGGCTCAAAGTTGTAGTCCCATGAAATTGTCTCTGGGATTCTTGTCCTGATTTCCGCATAAATGCAGTCATCTAGTGAATCAGCAGACCTAAGAAAAAGATAGAGGTATAGGTTACAGCAGGATCTAAATCCAGATGCAGAATTGCTTGTATCATAAAGCTATTGCCCTGTAATATGGCAGCTTATGATAACAATCACCAAACAAGCAGGATAACCTATTCTGTTAGAGATTTTACATTCACAGTGAAAAAACATTCTGCCAAACAAAATTATTATTGCTTCTGATAACCGGAGTTCTTTTTCAACCATGAAAAAATTGTGAAAGAAAGGTCTTAGGTTTCGTCAGATCACAATCCATAACTTCTCAATTTCCATCACCTGCATTTCATCCATAATATCCAAATAATTGGTACTTCAATTAAATGTTAAGGCTTTAATTCTAAGAGAAATTCATAATTTGTTTGGTTGTCAAAAGGCAAATGAAAACCAAAATCAAGATAAACTCTCAAATCTTTAACTTTCGAAAATTCATTCCTCTTTCTATCCCAAAATTATCAGCAACAACAAATTATCAGTCAGCATTAGACATCAAGTTCATTCGACCAAACATTCTAATCAAAGTAGGATCAAACTATGCCAGATGATCAGTAGAATCACTGAAGTACTGGTTTGTTTCCTTCAAGTCCCATATGAAAATCTGAAATAACAACACGTTCTAACACAATATCCTATCCTAAAATATTCTGAGCAGCCATATCCAGCAACTGATTAGTAGACTTTAGAGCTTGGAACCACATACATTAAAAATTAATTATCTAGAATTCCGATTTTTAACAAATTGCAACAAGAGCGAGCATGACCATACTTGATAAGAAGCTGCATATCTGGTCCAGGATATCGAATTTCAATAGTGCTGGAATGCCCAGGAACCGAAAATGTGTTCAAGCAATCAACAAAAAGGCCCAAGCTCAATCCAAATCGAGGCCGCCCTTGAGCAGTATATTCATATCTAATAAAAAGCTACAAGTAGACATCAAAACTTCAATATTATAACCCATCAACAAAACAAATACCCTAATTCTCTATCTAATAAATTAAAGAGAAAAAAACAAAAGGGAAAACCCTGCTACCAAAACTCCTTTGGTGGATTGCCACCTTCATCTCGTTCTTAATTTGTTTGTTCAGCAATCAAACAGAGTATTAAGGAAATTTTCTTTAAGTTTTAGAAAGTTAGAAATTATAACCTCCTTTTGAAGATAAACTTTGGCTTGAAGGCAGCCGGTTTCTTCAACAATCCAAACGATGCCGTGTTCCGATACTTCAACTAATGCGTCCTGATATTTAATAAAGGTATAATAAACTGGAAAACAATGAATCAGGTTGTGACGTGGTGTGGTGTGGTATTGGTAAAAGCCTAAAGTTGCAAGAAAATAAAATCAAAAGAGAGAGAAATGTTGTGGTAGACCTGATGACGTTTCCATCGGACGGTGGAAAGAGCGTCGACAATGCCTTGGACGTTGTCGAGCTGGCACACCAGATTGGATGTATCTGCCTCTATCGCCGAAGAGCTCATTTTTCTCCTTTCCCGCCAATTAGAAAAGTGTTTTTACTTTTCAAAGAACTTTTCAGTTCGCCACCTGTTTTGTGAAACCATATATTGCAATTTGCAAAAGCCTGAAGGGTGAAGAGCGAAAGACTAGTAGAGATTAGAGACCATCCCACACAACATGAACCTCCAGCTTAGCCCATTCATAATAGGCTTCTAGGCTCTAGCTCATCCCCTTGTTGATACTTTCAAACAGCAGAATTACACTCCCAATTTTTATTTTTATTTTTTTAAAAAAATCAGGAATAATTAATTAATTATATTTTCTTTCTTTTATTCATTAAAGTTGGATTCGAATTCAACTAAAAATGTGTTTCTGTCGTGATATGAAAGCTCTATTTTAGAAGTTTCTTTTCCTACAATATTGTATTATAAGAGATTGAAAGCTTCTGTATTTATTATTATATATATTTAAAAAAAAGGTTTTCGTGGTTTCTTGCAAATAAACCATCAAATAGATACTAATTGCATTATAAATTCATCCAGATCTCTTTAAAAGAGCATAAGATGGATGTCAATTGAATTATAAGTGAAAACGTGAATAATCTTCAATGTTATGTTATTTGCTTACAAAGAATATATATATATCCCTAAATATTGGAGTCATTAATAATTCTATACATGATATGATCTACTTTCCAAATATATAGAGCTAATATTCACATATATAAAAATGCAATAAAAAAAATATTCTAATAATAAATGAAAATATTCTAAGGTAACATTTCCGTCTTTTCTCCTCCTTAAGTTGGAACATAGAGATTGAAAGGCCCAACTTGTTCAATATCCACAAAAATAGATCCCCACTAAGAGCTTTGGTGAAGATATTAACCAATTGGTACTAATAAGAAATTGGTTGTGGCAATAGGGACTTGGATCGAATATATGGTGCTGAACAAAATAACAATCAATCTCAATATGCTTTCGCTTACTCACGGAAGATAGGATTAGTGGCGATGTGAAGTGTTGCTTGATTGTCACAAAACAAAGTGACGAGGAGAAGGATGAGATACGCCTAAATCGGAGGCGAGATAATGAATCCAAACAATCTCACTAGCGAGTTGTGTCCATAACGTAATATTCGGCTTCGGTCATGGAACAAGAAACCACAAATTGCTTCTGGACCACCAAGAAATTGGTGAGGAACCATAAAAAGACAATGTAGCTAGTGATTGAGCGACGAGTAAGTACTCGGCATTACAATAACCTCGCGGGGACAAAGAACTACTAGAGGGGAAAAAATATCCCGGTTAGGAGCACTTTTAAGATAACGAAGGACCCAAATAACGGCGTCATAAGTGGGGTTGTCTCAACCGATGCATAAATTGACTCGGAATATGAATGACATAACTAATGTCAAGACGTGTGATGGTGAGATAGAGTAAGCACCCAACAAGACGATGATATTGACTTGGATCTCATAAATAATATCGATGTCAATATTGAGCTTAAATTGTCGATCCATGGAAAAGGTTGGTGATTTGCATTCGGTGAGGCCGTACTTGACCAATAAGTCAAGAACATACTTCGTTAACTCAAAACAATAGCGGTAGGAGATCGTGCAACTTCAAGACCTAAAAAGTATGAGTTTACCAAGGTCTTTAATATGAAATGTGGTATCCAAATACTGTTTAAGCTAAGAAATTTTAGTAGAATTATTACCCGTGATGATCACATCATCAACATAAATAAGAACATCAACAAAAGAATCATGTTGAGAAGAAGTGAACAAAAAATGATCGAAAGGTGATAGGACAAAGCCCATTGAAATCAATGAGTGAGTGAATTTTTTATACCAGTTATAAAAAGTTTAACGAATCCCATAAAGAGACTTCGGAGATGAAAAACACAATGCTCTCTCTTTTTTTTTTTTTTAATAAAACCCTAAGGGATTTTCTTGTAGACTTCTTCGGAAAATCACCATGCGAGAAAGTATTGTTGACATCTAGTTGATGGAGTTCCCATTTACGGATGGAGGCAATGGCAAGAAGACAACAAACCGTGACCAACTTGGCTATTGGGGTAAATGTCTCATGAAAATCAATACCTTCAACTCCGAGCATATCCTTTGGCCACAAGACGAGCTTTGTATCATTCCACATATCCATTAAGGTTAAATTTGACTTTGTAGACTCATTTTGAATCAATGGCACGTTTTCTATGTGGTAAAGGTATAAGTGTCCACATGTGATTGGCTTTAAAAGTATAAATTTCTTTGACCATAGCATCATGCCACTATAGATGTTTCACGACACGAGAAAATGACGAAGGCTCATCGATGGAAGAGATGGCCGCTAGAAAGGCATTATGAGTGTTAAAAAATTTGGAATATGAAATATTTTGAGATAAAGAATGTATAGTTGAGTTAGTTAATGAGGTGTGTTAGAGAATAATATAAATTATATCCTAGGGCCTCACCTAATAACTTAAGGTTTTGGATTGAGATGGTCTTTTGACATGGTATCAAAGCTTTGATCACCAAACGGTCTTGAGTTTCAATCTCATCTTTCTCATTTCTCTTTTAATTAATTAAGCATAAGGTAGTGTGGGCTTGTGTAAATTTCAAGCCCAAAGAACTTTCATTTGAGAGGGTGTTATAGAGAATAAAATAAATCATATCCTAGGATCTCATCTAACCGTTTAAACTTTTTGATTGAGATGGTCTTTTGAAAACAAGTTCATGACTTTTTGGTTGACTTTGTGTGAGTGATAAAACGGGTTCTAAAATTCAATTATTGTTTGAAAAAAGAAAGACTAAATTGTACAAGTTCTTCTAAACCTTTGATCAAATTTAAATTAGTTTATGATCTTTTTTTTTAAAAAAAAGAAGCTACCTTGAACTTTCATAATTTTCTTAAATAGTCATATTTTTTTCAAAAAACCATGGACCAATTAAAATATATCTAATAGTGAAAAGAAAATTAAATTTTAATTTTATCAATTGCATCTTAAAAACAAAGCATAAAAAAAGTAAAAAAATAAAAATATATACGAGAAAAATGGTTGATTTTTTATTTTTTTCCCTCAAAGATTCTTAACGCTTGAAAGGTTTTAAGTATCCAAATTCTTGATAGAAGAATGTTGAAGCGAGTGGGATTTGATTTTCAAGACGAAGAGTTTGGACGTTTGGTTTAGGTAATGGTTATGATTGTGAAGCGGTAAGGTAGAGGTTTTTATCACTTTATGAGTTGACTATGTATTGAACTATTGATCTCGGGTAAATATCTAACAAGTTTCAATTTATTTTTATTTTCATGTGTTTGTATCTAGATTTTTTTAACCAAATAATAACTTTTTTTTTTATTTAGTGACGAACAATTCAAGTTTTTATCGATATTTAAGTTGAAGCTTATATTTTATTATTATTTTGAATGAATTCGTTAGTTAAATGGACAAAAACTTAATAAAAAGATTAATTGAAAAATTAATTCAAGATAGCTTCTAAAAATTGTTTTGGTTCACGAACTAATTAAGGATCGGTCGAAAGGTTGGGCACGTAATTTAGCTAAAAAAAGAGCCTACATATATACACACACATTAACTAAAACATTAAAAGAAATGGGTTTTTTTAGCATTTTCACTATTTGGCCAAACAATTTCATTTTAGTCCATAATGTTTCAAAAAAGTCTTTTTTCCTATTGATTCTAGGCGGAGGCTTGGTCCTCCGAGCCCGGCGTGCGGGCTTGGTCCTCTTGGCCGGCGCCTTTTTTTAAAAAAACAAAAATTTCATTTAATTTATTTATATTAAAGATTATTTTTGAAAGTTTAAAAATCTATTTAAAAATATTTATGTAGCTTTATTTAATTTATTTTAATTTTTAAAAATATTTTATTAATTTTTGTACAAGGTTATAAATTTTTAATGCATTTTCTTGAATTTTGAATTAAAATTTCAATTTAAATTATTACAATTTTTATTTAAAAATCAATGCATAAAGACAAACAAATAATGTATTTTTAATATAAAATTTATATATAAAGAAAGAAAGAATTATTTAAATACAAAGTTTAAAAAATTTAGTGTTTTTTTTTTTCGAGTTTTTGATTCTAGATATTTTAATAAACCCATAATATATCATGAACTATCAAATTAAAATGATTTTATTCTATTCTATTCCCGAGTGTTGCGTAAGTAACCAACTAGAAAACCAACATTCTTGATAAATATATCTTAGATACAGATTGAAAGAATTATTTAGAGTTGTTATATCTTGTATTCATTTTATTTTATAGTGAATTCATTTTCTTATAATCTTTCTCTTTAATTCTACTATTGTTGTTATTTCTTTCATAACATGTTATTAGCACAAATCTCTAACCAATTGAGATAATAAACCATGAGGTATGTATCTATCAAAAGACTTAATCATTTGTTTCAATTATTGGATTTTTTTTCACAAGTGTTCTACCGAAAGATCTAAATTATCTATATCATGAAATTATATGTATCTAATTGATCCTTTTTTTAAAAAAAAAATCTAATGATACATAGAGTATACGTTTGAAAAACTTGAATGACTTAATATATGGAATCTAATGATCTAATGTATATTATTTAAAAAGCTTGAATCTTATTTTCATGCCTCGAATATGCTCCTATAGTAGCAATATCGAGAAATTGATTTTAAAAATATTATGAATTGATTTTATGTTTCGAATAAAATAATAAGCTATTGCTGAAAAATCATGAATCCCTCATAATTGGATCTAGTCCATTCTCCGAAGTGAATGTGATAACTTATAATAATTTTGAGCATAGATGAAGATGTAGACATAACTATAATCATATCGAAATAATTATCATTATAATCGTAATGACTATAATAATACATATCATCATCGAAGTGGATAAACTATGAAAAAAACCAAAAGAATAAAAATAGATTAAGTTAGTATCTTAAAAATGAATGTTATAGATGTGGCATTAAGAGACATTGGTCGTGTACGTACCGCACGTCAAAGCACT